TTTTTTTTTATTTCTCTGCGAATTTACAATCTACTCACTACAGTAAGGAGCAATAGGTAAACTGATTAAAAGTAGGAACGTGAGTAGAGAATCAACCAGCGTCGATGCTCTTAAACACAATTGATGCTAGAATTTATTGCTTAACCTAATTTTGTCTTTTCGGAAGGTCGGATGGCCACTGTCTCTTCAGTCTCCGTGCAACGTTGGGAGGGTTTCTTATTTCTTCAATTAATCTGTTGTCATGTCCTTGTAGTTGTTTGTAGAGTAGAGCTAATCTTCTATGTCGTCTGTTACATATGGGACTTGCAGGTCGTTGTGGAGCGTCCGGTTGGAGACGTACCAGGGTGCGTTGGTGATTGTTCGTAGAACTCTGGACTGTAGCCTTTGGATGATTTGTGTATTTGATGGCTTTGCACAGCCCCACAGTTGAACTCTATATGTCCATATAGGTTTAATTATGCATTTGTACAGTATCAGTTTGTTCTTTAAGGATAATTTTGATTTACGGTTCATGAGCCATGACATTTCACGGAGTTTCATGTTCATTTGTTGACGTTTGGTTTTAATATGTTTTTGCCATGTTAATTTTTGGTCCAAGTGAAGTCCCAAGTATTTTACCTCGGATTGCACAGGAATTGGTGTGTTCTGGATGGAGACTTGTGGGCATGTTGTTTTTCTGGTGGTGAATGTTGTCTGGACAGATGTTTCGAAAGTGAACCGCAAGAAAAGTTACTAGGCTTGTGTTCAAGCAGTATAAGCATATTTTTGTGGATTGCCCGAGAATTGTGAATTTAGAAATTGCAACACAGACGGCGCCACAAAATGTGTTCAGGATCCTTTGGTATTTACATTTGGCATTCTTCCTTTCTTTAATTATGACTTTTCCCCAAAAATCCAAGGATGGGGAAGATACCTAACTTGCTCCCCCCCCGGCCCGGCCAGGTGCCCATAGTAAGATAATGCAGATCATACGGGGGTGGGGAGAAATGCAAACGGATTTTTAATTCGAAAACAACTTTGTTACACGTAAGATTTGAGGCTTTCACGGCGGTGACTATGAAGAAAGCAGTCTTCTGGGATTTGGCACCGTGTATATGTGGTGTTAACCGACGGTTCGGAGGAACGTATCGCCTCCATCTTCAGGGTAGAAGAAAAAATATATAAGAAATCTGCAAGCAAAGAGACCGTGAGAACCGGTAATAGCGGTCTCTTTGCTTGCAGATTTCTTATATATTTTTTCTTCTACCCTGAAGATGGAGGCGATACGTTCCTCCGAACCGTCGGTTAACACCACATATACACGGTGCCAAATCCCAGAAGACTGCTTTCTTCAACTTTGTTACACATATACATAGATGGCAGGATGATCTTGAAATGGATGTTGACTAGATTAATCTGGCTCTGGATATGATCCTGTTGCATAGTGATTAGTTGTCATAATATTTATAAATTTATGAACCTTCCGGATCCACAAAGAGGGGCCAATTTATTGACAATCTGAGCGGCTATTTTTTCTTTAATAGAAGAGAATTAGAGTTGTTTATGTGCTTAACTAATTAAGCACTACGTCATGAAGGCGTATGGGAGAGTGGATGTATGCATTTTCTTGACCTCGGCACTAGTTGGAGGTGAGTGGTCAGCTAGATAGGAGGCTGAGTGGGCCCCAAAGCCTGTCTAGAAGACTTGGAGAAGAGAAAATTCTTGACCCTACCGTGACTCATACTCCGACTTCGTCCAACTCGTGGCCAGTCGCTATACCGACTGCGCTATCCCGGTTAACAAAATTAGGATAAAACATTAGTCTCGCAAGATCAATAATTCTAACGGAAGAAAAAACTATAGGGTAAATAAAATATATTCATAATTAAAAGTACTTAAATGAAAATACGTAACAAAAATGAAAACAGGACCATAAATTCTAGAAACCTACATATCCCAGAGATTATAAACATAGCCAGTTTATTTGCTAACTCTAATCCACATACTGTTGCTAATCATCCAAAGGTTATATTAATGTCGTGTTAGAAATATCTGCCAGAGCTTGGTTCACGAGGCGGAGTGAAATGAAGACAGACAAGAATCTCTCTGCTTGATAAATTGTATGATAATCAGAGTGTGTCTCAGCGGGCTCACACAGACAGTAGATGAGGAGTGTGAATTTCTCTTGTTCAGAAATATCTGTATTATTGACTGCCCAATTCAAGCAACAACAATTACTGTATTTACAGTAAGAGTAACTGCATCAAAACAAAATGTTACAAATTCATCTGTTATCAGATACTGTCACGTACACGTAAATAGTTATAAGTACATGTACTTATTCTAGACTTACACTAGTCTCGGGTATTAAAAAATCATCATTGTTGATGATGATAAAAGTAAAGGTGCCCTGTACTTAACTAAATACAATTTCGTGTACACGTATAAGGAGTGGAGGTATGGTTCCATACATTCTTAACCTCGGCACTAGCTGGAGGTAAGTGGTAGCTTCACACCCCCGGCCGCTTTACCCCTGGCAGACGAACCCCCGATATCTATAGCACAGGAGGCTGGACGGGTCCAGGAGTTCATCTGTAAGCCGGGATGCAAAGACAAACCTCTTGTCACTCCCTAAGACCTGATCTATTCAGGTTCCCCAAATGCCGGGATTATATTTCGAATAGGCTAGATCAACTTCCTTTCTAAACGTATCAAACTTATTATATACTAATAATCATAACATTCGCCACTGTACAGCATGAGCAACGAAAAAGAAAAACAATAGAAAGTAGTTTCAGGTTATTCCGTTACACTACAGCGCCATGTCAAATGTGTCTTTCCGGTGTGACGTAACGTCAGTTGTATGTCATATTTTCTGTTACTTAGGACTACCGCACACCAACTGCGTCAAAACAAGCATCAAGACATGAGACAAAAGACGCAGTCTTGCTTCATTCGTGATTCGTCAGCATGAAGCTGACGTCAACATGACTCAGACCGGTATGCGGTGGTTTTCATAAGAGCATTCGTTTCAACTGTGATCCTTTTTTTGCGTCATGTCGCAGACATCGTGTCTTGACTGTTACATGTCTTGACGCATGCCGGTGTGCGGCATCATCCATGAAGATGAGGTGAGAATTAATACCCACCAGGCTACTGGGATACAAATTCGGCTCCCTGTAGCTCATACCAGAAGCAGGATCAGTATGAGTAGTTAGCGAAGCTCCCACTGAACTTCAGCTGAGACACGTCTGAAGCCGGTGAGAAGGCCACCCCAAGCAGACCTCCGGCCGGTGCAGATTTGCCCGTCTCTGGGGATCTGAACTGCGCAGGGTTTGCCAGGACCGTACTGGACAGCTGTTGCAGCTGTTGCGGCTGTTGCAGCTGCTGCTGCTGCTGCTGCTGCTGCTGCTGCTGCTGGGGCAGTAAACTCACAAACGCTGACTGAGCAGGCAGCTGGGGCACGGCAAAGGAACTGAAACATTACAACGAAATATTGACATAATTACTTATAACAATTGCTCAGCCACTCAATAATTTCCTAGAACTGTATGGAACCATTACCATATTAATAACAGCACGCAACTGGTCTTTACCATTGGCCAAATGAATCCAGTTCACATCCTTCCATCTTATTTCTTTACGATCAGTTTGAAAAGTATTAAGACCGCCTCTGTGGTCTAGTAGTCAAGAGTTCCTGGCTACAGATCCAGAGGTCCGGGTTCGATTCCCGGCGTTACCAGATTTTCTGAGAAGTAGTGGGTCTGGAACGGGGTCCACTCAGCCTCGTGAGGATAACTGAGGAGCCATTTCAAGGAAATAGCTGCTCCGTTCTAGAAAACCGAGATTAAGGGCCGTGTGAATCCGTTGCGCTGATCACGTGACACCTTCTATCTGCTAAAGTTGGCACAAACTTCTCCGACAAGCGGCCGTCGCTCGGTCGGTACAGTTCGCTTGAGGACTGCAGGCCACGCGTTCCGCTTTTAATATTATCCTGCTATCTAGTGGTCTCTGTCCTTGAGGTTTTCCTACCAAACCCCATATGCACTACATACCTTGCCCTTGATTTGTTCATTCTAATAACATTAGGCGAGGAGTTCAAGTTAGAGAGTATTTTTAACAGCCTCATGATATTTGTATGCATGCAGCCTTAGTTGCAGCTCCTTGCACCAAACATCTGCTCAGAAATTTCTGCTCTCACAGAACTTAAATTCTTCGTCTCATCTGTGCGACCACTAACCTGCTTATATCAGCCTCTGGTAGGACCAAGGGGGCATTTGATGGCACAATGCGCCTCTCATAGTTTAGCGTTCTGTCTCCCGTCGGCTTTACTTTTATTTGCAGAATATACCTTTAAAGAAATATGTGTGAAAATAGGCATAAATTCCATGAAGAGCTGCATATTTTAAAATAAGTTGAATGTTTTCATTGCATTAGCATTAGCACGTTAAGAAAGATATTATTTTTTGGAGAAGTCTTAATTATATCCTGATAAAATTGTTGTAAGTCCCGTTTACGCAATATCCAAACACAATTTACGATCTGTTCCCTCTTAATATGTGTCACTGCTGTTGCTGCAGTTATGATTAATACAATGTAATCTCGGTAAACCGTAACCATGTTAATCCAAATTCCCAGTAATCCGAACTGACTTACAGTAACAACCCCCCCCCCTTTATCGACACATTTGAAATTTAATAATTTAACCTAATTATTTTACTTCCTTGTAGTAAAAATGAATTCTTGTGACTCGTAGCATGTGTTAGTGAACCTGTCTCTCTGTGCGGTGATAGATGTTGCCGGTCACTTGGCTGGCGAATACGTTAAAAAGGTATAACATTTTACAGACTTCGGTTGCCTATAAATAAAACTTACCTATAAATATTTTGAACAGATGAAGTTACTAAAACATTCGGATATTTTATTTTAAATCTAGTAATCCGAACAATTCTGCAGTCCGAGCACACCAGCACTTTAATTAGTTCGGATTATCGAGGTTGGATAGTACTGTATTATTATTCGAGTCCTTTCACCCGACTCCTCAGAAGAGACTTTGCTGTAGATGAAAGGATGATATTACTATGCACCTTAAATAAATGTGAACTGGATACATCCGGTCAGGATATGCCCCAGTTGCTGTAATAAAATCTAGGCTTCCAAAGAAATCGTAAATATCTTGACCAGGTGAGCGACTATCCATGTTTCATTTAGTTAGCATTACTGGGGCGCACGCGTTAGCGTAGTTAGTTAAGGCATTATGCTACAAGCAGGAGGGTCGACGGTTTAACTCCCGATGAGTTCGTTTTTTTAATTGACCTAATCCTTCGAGCCGCATTATGGCCCTGGGGTCGACTCAGCGTCTAACAAAATTGAGTATCAGGAATCCTCCTGGGTAGCCAAATGCGGCCGGCGCGTAAGGCTAACAACCTCACCGCAATCGGTGAACCGGCTGTCTAGAGAAAACGTGGGAGCTTCGATGTCTCACAACCCTATGGGCCTCTATGGCCTGTTACACGGATAGCTTTTTTTTTTCTTCTTCACTTTTAGAGTTACTGCATGTTCAATCTTAAATTACATACTTTTGACAAACACGATCTATAGCAGACAAATTTATATCCATACAGATGTAAATATATCGGGTATGGAACGGATGAGCTGGGTTCGATACCCGCTATTGAGATTTTTCTCTTCTCCACCGCGTCCAGAACGGCTTTGGGACTCACATAATCTCCTACCCAGTAATTACAGGGAGAAATTTCTCCTAGGGTAAAGCGGTCAGGGGGTAAATCTGATCATTAACCTTTATATGGTGCTGAAGTTGGGAATTCAAGCAGCAATACCTTCACTTCCCATACTCCATTATGCGGTGCTTAACTAAACAAAGGTACGTTACCTCATTACACATTTATATACCACACTGATAAGCGTCTAAATTGGCAGTTCATCACCATCACCATCACCATCATCAGCAGCAAGGGTTGAGTCTGTTAGCCCATTCCGTTCGCAAACTTGAAGCCCTTGAGGATTTCACTTGAGCAGGTTACTAGCCTGTTGAGAAACCCCTTCTCTTGGAGGACCGGTGTTTTTTTCGGGGTGTACTTACTTTAGACAAGTTACCTACCGTGGTTACCGAGTCCTGTTTACCCGACACGTAACCCTAGGAAGGGCTGCTTACCTGACGCTGCCCACAGGGCCAGTGGGACCTGGAGCTCGCATAAGGCAGGGTCCCCACTCCTTGTAGTCGGACAGTCTCTTATGAGAGTTTCAAATTGATACCTCCAAAATTTCAATTATAAACCATAAATATATACACATTTCATATAATGTTTAAAGTGTTACACATGGCTATATGAGTTCGAGAATTTTCTTATAAGTTTGTGGAAAATAGGGTATACAGTAGCCTGAGAAACACCTTACCACAATATACGGAAAATTCATTGAATGTTTTGGGAGGTTCAATGAAGTGGTTACCGACAATGCAGCTGCTCTACCTACTTTTGATTAAGGGCCGAGCCAGGGATTAACCGCGCTGGCCCCTGCGGAATGGCTTGCAGCAGGTTGAACCCCGCGGGGTTGCTAAGCTGCACCCGCAGCCCTTGTACCGGAGCGGCCGCTGACTGGTACAGCTGCTGTTGTTGACTGTCAGCAGGGTAAGCTCCGAAAGGAACAAAATTTTGAATCTGGGCTCGGACGACGGCCAGCATCATCATGGCGACAGCCGTTACTATCACCTGCTGTGGAAATCAACGAGGAGACATTTACAGTTTCAAGATCAGGGCCACATATAAATGAAAGAAACTTATTTAATAATAAATACTGAAAGGTTTCTATACATCAAAATTATATTCATTCACTATCGGAACATTTTAAAATAAAAAATTCTCCGAATGTGTACGCTTTCAACCTAAATATTTCTAGAAAAAAACAGCTTCACAGTATGAGCAAAATAATAGCAATGTGGAGATATCTCTTTTCGACACTGTAATGTCGACTACCGTATATTGTTGTCATAGTTTTGTTCTATATGTAACTAATTAATATTAATTTCGCATTTTGTTTCCATGATAGAAAATTAAAATGATCAAGTTAAGGAGGCTTAGATGGGGAACTGCTGCAACACGCATGAGGGAGAAGATAAATGCTTATAGGATTTTTGTGGGAAAGCCAGAGAGATACCACTATGAAGACCTAGTTATAGGTGGATGGATATTATTACAAAGGATCTCAAATAGATAGGATGGGTTGATATGGAGTAGATTAATCTAACTCAGGATATGAATCAATGGAACACAATAATGAATCGTAGGGTTACACAGGATGTTGGGAAATTCTTGAGTGGCTGAGCGGCTGACGGCTTCTCAAGAAGGAATCAGATCCACTGAGTCAGTTAATGGTACACTGATATATTGGGTTTTTGGACTTTATCCATCGTCCTGGTTTTTAAGATAACTAATAAAAACACGACGTTTCGGAAACTGGATCTGTTTCCGTCCTCAGGTGAAGGAAAACACCTATTCTGTTGGGTCCGTTAGAAAGAGCTAGCCTCAATCACTAGTGTTTTATTAGTTATCTTAAAAACCAGGACGATGGATAAAGTCCAAAAACCCAGTATATCAGTGTGTTATACACCATCGTCAGAATCCTATAGTAACCACTTAGTTAATGGTTTCCATGGAAAAGACAACCAAAGTCTATAAATATTGGCCTGCTTAGACTAAGGGTATGGAGACATATTACCTAATATAATTATTACAAACAAAATCCTTTCTCTCAATTGCTAGCGGCCGTAACCGGATTTCTGCAGTGCAAGAAGCGATGTATGTGACTGCCATTTTGTTGCCTCGGAAGTCATGGCTGGACTTGCATTTAGCGATGATTGTGCCTACACAACGAATGAAAGAACGAATAAGGGGTGGGCCAAACCGGCTCTTAAACTGCGACCGTCTTTTATCTATTGCATATCCCCCTCTATTTAGCCCCATAACAACCCGCACTTCGAAATATATGTAAGCCACATATGTAAATAATAGAATACTTTTTAACTGACTACGCAATTTCATTGTTTCAGTACGGTTTATTTTAAGACAGAAACCAGAGAAAAGTATATTTTGGCATTCTATAAAGTAGCCAAGTTCATGATTACTTAATGAAAAATAACAAGAAGTCACGTGTCCTAGACTTTCACCCGGAACCTCCAACGCGTTACGCAAGTGTAATGTGTCGCATGCCCTTGGGGCGTTCATTACAGGTTTTACGTGTTTTTATTCAAGCTGGGGTTCATATATTTAAATGTGGAGCAGTTGGCTAATTTGTCAATTCAGTTATATTCGGGTCAAGCTGCATTCAACCCAAGTGCATCGTCTTTATACGAGCACCACACCGAAGTTGACTGTAGCGTATACACAGGGCAATCCGTAAGGTAAAGTTGTCCTTGTGTTTAATTAAATAAGCACCATACTATGAAAACGTATGAGGGAGTGGAGGTATAGCTCCACCATTCTTGACCTACGTACTAGATGGAGGTCAGTGATAAGATTCACACCCCGGTCGCTTTAACCCCGGCGCCCACTGGATAGGAGACTGGGCAGGCCCCAGAGTCGGTCTGGACGCTGCAGGGAAGAAACAAAACCTTGTCCCTGTCTAAAATCTAACCCGGCTGTCCGGCCCGTAACTTGTCGGTATAATTACAGTTGTAACTGTATTCATTTTAGTTGTAATTGTATTTGAATTGTATTCATTGAGTATAGTGTGTCCTTAAGGCTGGGGCCACACTAGAGCACAAAATGCGTCCGTTGTAGAAATAAACAAGAAAGGCGAATGCTACGCTTCCTTCTGGCTCCATTGCAGACAAAAAAGAACTACGCACCGCATTCTGCAACTGTGCGGTGTCCTCAGCAACGTCCGTCATAAAGTCATAAAGTACGTTCGTTGCAATGGACGTACTTCGTGTGCTCCTGTGGCCCAAGCCTTACCGTTTGTATACTTTTGTGTGCTGTGTTTTGTTTGAGCGTGGTGTGTTACTTTTTGTGATGTGTGTTATGTGCGTGTTGTGTCTTACTGTAGTACCACTGCCACCGAGTAAACACCCATTTGCAGCTAAAACAAACAAATAAATAATAATAATAACAGTAAAGACTGAGCTATCCCGGCTCATTCCATAACATTCCTTATGAAAAACTTCCTTATAAGATGAACCCATTAATGTGTTCACTTCTTTTAAATTCTTCATGTTTGTAGTTAAACGTGTTTAAGTTGGCTCTTTGCCACACGCTATCTTGTCCTATATGTCTATAGGCCTATTCTACTACTGAAATAAAGCGTATATAGTAAGTATATAATATATCAAATATATGTGTATAATACTGTAATAATAATACAATTGAATTAATTTGTATAAATGTGTGACAACAGCAAGGAAACAAATTAGAGGCAAGCACTGAAAGACAGCAGGAAATAAACATACAAATAATACATTAAAAAGCAACAAGAAAAGTTACACGAGTACATTAATACAGTGAAGAAGTCAGCAAGTGAAATACAATACTTGCTGAAGACGTCAATATTCAAGCAGAGCTGAAGGGCTAACCTTGAACAGTTCGTGTACACTAAAACTCTCTTCATCCGTTTGTTTGCGTAGATTAGAAGAATACAAAACGGTTGATAAACTAATTTTGTTTTTAGAATGATTATTGGGAGATAAGTCAATGAGATAGCGCCGCCTGGAATGAAGTTTTGTGAGATGCCTTCACGTGTGGTGTCACACAAAACATTAATCTGATAGAAGAAAAAACTGCAATTATTTTTTGCATTCTGTCACTTTCAAAGGAATCCGCCTATGTATTGGAGTTCCAGCGGCATTTACACTACATACAGTCAGCTTTCGATTGTGCAAGGGCTCTGTACAAAACGATACAGCTATCTATAGAAGAAATGGAAGATGCGATGTATCGAATAGAAACCAACATCTGTCAATCTTGAGTGGTAATGTAATCGACCATGTACTAGTACTTAATGGTTATGCCGATGTTACTAAGACCACTGACGTTACTACTACTTCTAATACCACCACCACTACTACTACTACTACTACTACTACTATTATTAGTACTAGTACTACTAATAATAACAAATCCTTCTGCTCATTGCAGTGGCCGTGAAATCTGAGCCAACACATTGTCTTCTGACACTCGAACCCTGGGGTCGTGTCTTCGAATCTCAGTCTGGGGAAACGGGTTATGTCCGCGTTCTTTCTGTTTGTGTTGTCGTGAGTAGGTACAGGCTTTACGATGGGCCGATCACCCGCTTAAGGATTCCTGCCTACTGTCTATACAATTTAAAATATGAAAGAAATTAATTCTGAACTGGTACAAGTCAAAGGCCTAATCCACAAGTCTGAAGAGTAATAAGACACTTTTCCTCCTCAATTCAAGAAATTATTACATAATAAAGAATCTCGTTATGTCTCTGTAATTCGCCTTTGGGCTCTTAAGATAGCATATAAATAAATAAGAAATTAATTGAATTATTATTATTGACAGATGCAGCCAAAATTTTCGCCCATATTAAGATCAGATTTCATTAAATTAACAGTCTATCAGGCAGCTTTTAAATGGTTAACCAAGAAGAACTGTATTTCATAATATCGACCTAAGCTTCACAATTGCCTTAACATAAAATGGACGCTTCCGTCAGGTAATCTCCCTTTTATATGACGCGTTAGAAAACCCACTGTCTTCATTTCAGGGGAATGACCTCAGAAGTCGTACATCTCATGACTAAATACGGTCCTGCATGTGACCGCAAAACGCAACTACGAATGCGCAAGTCCGTGTACAATGTGACATGCTAATGACTTGTGTCGATTAGGTATAATAGGAACAAACGAATAAATTGTCATTTCATTATATTCTGAGGCGCCTGAAACAAGGACGCACCTTCGTACTATATACTTTCGCGTGTAGGGGGGGTACGCGTGACGAAAATTACGGGTTCTAGGTCGGATGAATGGATTTTATTAGGCGACTCTTTTGCAGTCCCACTCGGATATAACAGACCGCACATTTAACTCCTTCTAGCTAACGAATCTCTCAGTCTTTCCCTTCCGTTTGGTTCTCGCTGGAACTACGCATTCAACGAATCCTTTCTCGGTTCTTTCAGCATGCAATCTCTCCTCTTCTGTTTTCTTCCTCTGGTCACTTCTCTCGATCTAAGCTGGCTTCACGCCGATCGGATATGAAACACTCCGTGCAACGGTACACTTCTTCGTTTTGCGGTCGTCATCGAGACGTGTCTCCGTTGCTGTGTAAACAATTTTTACCTACCCGTTGTTACGGAAACTTTTGTGTACGTGAAGAACGCCGTCTTCTGGGTTGTGGCGCCGTGTACATCTTGTGTGAACCGAAGTTTCGGGGGAACGTCGGTTCACACAAGATCTACACGGCGCCACATCCCGGAAGACGACATTATTCAATACTAATATAGTTTATTACACTCCGGAATGTTAATTCCCATTGCTTAAGCGTTTCTTTAAACTCAGTTTTAATACGAGTACTAGTAAAATTTATATTGGATATGGTNAATTGATTTACATGTCACAATATCATTAAGAGTCTTTTTAATATTATCACCTCATCTACGCGTAGGTCTTAACATGTTACTTCTTCTCTCCATATTATCTGATAAAAGTTGTTTTGTGCATATTTATTGCTTCCTACTTATGCTACATGTGCTAACCTACTCAGCATTCATTTGTCTAACAACACTTGGTGAAATTACGTAGCTTCTCGTTATGCAGTTTTCTCCTGTGTCCTGTTTCTTCCTCTCTTTTGGGTCTAATATTCAACTCGGCACCCTGTTTTCAAACATACACAACGTACATATCTCTTGGTGTAACAGACCAGTTCTACATTACACAGAGCAAGAGATACAATTATAATCTTGAAATCATCCGATAAAACTACGTTAAATACTTTAATAAAACAATATGTTTACACTTTTCCCTCTGTTCTTCTTTCTTTTACAGATTAGGTATCCACGCCTGCCTTGTCTGAAGACATTTTCTGACAGGATATCAGCCTTAACCATCGCAAGAAAGTACATAAAATGGTGAGTAACACACTAGCTAGGGATTCGAACCTGCAAATATAGTACATCATGAACGAGATTTAGAGTGCGGAAATTTCAAAGTGCGTTATGGCTCTGGGGTCGACTCAGCCTCGTAACAGAAATGAGCACCAGGAACCTTCCTGGGGGTAAATGGCGGCTGACAACCTCCCCACCATCTATGATCCGATTAGAAAATGTGGGAGTCTCCACGCCTCACAAATCTATGGGACCCCACGGCCTGTTACAGAGATAGCTTTACTTCCTTTTTATTGCTAGTGGGGTGGGACTAAGTCCCTTGTACTGCGGCCACTTCTGGCCTATTGTACCAGCCCCAGATGATAGGTGAGGGTGGTTGTGGAGCAACTGGTGGACTGAAAATTGGCAGGGGAAACCGAAGTACTCGGAGAAAACCACAAATCCCACTTGACCAGACCCGGGATCGAATCCGGGCCGCCGCGGTGGGAAGCCAGAGACTAACCGCTTGAGCCATGGCGCGGCCCTAGCTTTACCTTACTCATTTCGAAAGAAGAGGAACATGAATGCTGAACTTCACTTACTGCGTAGCCCATTGTGTGCACTGGATGGTCCTGACAGCGCGAAACAGAGTGGCACGTGAAGAAAGTCCTACTGCTGCACCTTATATACGGAGGAAACGCTTATCCACTTTCGTTACAACGTGCTCTGCATTCACTGGACGCGTCTTATTGGCAGGCGACGCTTCACTTTCACTCATTTACGAATCTTCTTGGCAATGTCACTCTTGCAGCCAGTATATATGTCACTCACTCACTCCTGAAGCTGAGCCTTTCTTGAGAAGTCGTCAATTGTGCAGCTACTCAAGAGCTTCCCAACATTTTACGGAACCCGAAGTTTCATTTCCGTGTTCATAAGAGCATTCCACTGGTCCCTATCCTGAGTCAGATCAATCCAATCCATACTATCCCATCCTATCTTTCTAAGATCCATTTTAATATTCTCCACCCACCTACGTCATGGTGCTCCAGTGGTCTCTTTCCTTCTGGATTTCCCACAAATATCCTGTATTAATTACTCTTCTCCCAAATTCGTACTACATGCCCTGCCCATCTCATCTTCCTTGACTTGAACATGAACTTGGATAAGAGTACAAGTCATGAAGCTCCTCATTATGCAGTTTTCTCCAACCTCCTGTCACTTCATCTCTCTTCGGTCCAAATATTATCATCAACACCCTGTTCTCAAACACTCCCAGCCTATAATTTTCGCTTAGTGGGGGGCTGGAGTCCAGCTGGGTCCACTCAGCACTGCGGCCACTGATTGGCCTATTGTACCTGCCCCGGGTGATTATGATGATGGAGAATTTGGTGGAATGAAGATTGGCAGGGGAAACCGAAATACTTGGAGAAAACCCGATCCAGCGCCACTTTGTCCACTACAAAGCCCACTTGACCAGACCCGGGATCGATTAACCGCTCGAGGTATGGCCCGGCCACTCTCCCAGTCTATAGAGACCAAGTTTCATACCCATACAGAACCACAGGCAAAATTATAGTTTTGGATATTCTAATTTCTGCAGATACGTCATGCAACTTTAGGAAAGTAATGATCAAACTGCTGTTATTACAGCTCGACAAACTTCCGCGAGAATGCAATATTGATGTTTAATTAACCGAGAGGATAAATCTAAATAGAGGACATGTGCAGTGAACCAGAGCCCTGCCAAATGATGGGCTTGCAGTGTCATTACTTCAGAAGTCGATCAGTAGTAGGCATGGAAAATTTGTTTTTCAGACTACCATATGTCAACGGGGCACGCGGTAGCGTAATTGGTTGAGGGGCTATGCTACAAGCCGGAAGGTCGGGGGTTCAAGTCCCGATGAAGTGATTGTATTTTTTTTTCAATTGACCTAATCCTTCCAGCCCCACTATGTATGGCCTTGGGGTTGACTCAGCCTCTAACAGAAATGAGTACCAGGAATTAATTAAATAATTTTCCTGGGGACAACCTCACCGCCATCTCTGAGCCGATTGTCTAGATAATGTGGGACCCTCAACGTCTCACAACCCTATGGGCCTTCACGGCTGCTACAGGGCCAGCTTTACTTACTTTTTTTACCATATGTCAACAGTGCAGACTTGTAACATTCCTTTTGATTCTTCGTGAGTTATTACGTAGCGCCCGCAGGATGATAGCATCGTTAGTGAAACCGAGGGAGCCGTCACGTAGGCAAGTCAGGGTCGCACTTACACCGGCTGTGTCAGTTCATACGTAGAAAGCTTTGCCATGTCACGACCTGACGCGTGGGTCGCATATTCATTCCAGATCAAGATAAACGGGGAGAAATTCTATTGTTATTGTCACTTTTGTTGCTACTCTTGTTGATTCATGGGTTATTTAAGCGCCTGTATTTGGTTCCTCCGCGAAGAAACGAACATAAATTGAGGGGTTTCAGAACATGGTAAAAAAGTAAAGGTAAATTTGTCCCTGTCTTTAATTCATTAGACCGCCTCTGTGGTCTAGTGGTCAGAGTTCCTGGCTACAGACCCATAAGTCCGAGTTCGAGTCCCGGCGTTACAAGGTTTTTTGAGAAGTAGTGGGCCTAGAACGGGGTCCACTCAGCCTCGTGAGGATAATTGAGGAGCTATTTCAAGGACATAGCGATTCCGGTCTAGAAAACCGAAATTAACGGCAGTGAGGATTTGCTGCGCTGACCACGTGGCACCGTCTATCCGCTAAAATTGGCACTAACTTCGCCGACAAGCGGCGGTCGCTCGGTATAGTTTGCTTACGGACTAAAAACCATGGAGTTTGTTTTTTTTCCTTTAATTCATTAAGCACCAAGCCAAGAAGACGTTGGGGGGGAATAGAAGCATATCTCCACCATACGTCGGCATTAGATGGAAGTGAGTCGTCAGTTTCACGAACCAGCCGCTTTGCCCCCAGGGAAAGAGCACCTCGTACACATTGCGTAGGAGGCTGGGTCGATGACAAATCACACTTTTCTGTTCAGTGGATTTCTCTTCCGCGAGCGGATTTATCATTGCTCTAATTCACTCAGACGGGGGATCGAGTGGATATCGATTTGCCAATCTAAATTTAAGAAGACGCCACGCGTCTGTTTTCTACACTGAATTCCAGCTTAGCGCGACAAATCTGTATCACAGACAAAATTTTTATGTAGAGGTTATTCTGATTGTCAAACCGCGATCTTCCCTAGTTTAGAATTTTTCTAAAGAAAACGTGTTCGAAATATTATTCCGTGATAGAAATTGCCTCCGGTCGCTTCGTTCAATAGCGTTATTAACGTACCAAGTTTACTTCCTCCCTGTCGTGAGAGCTGGCTAGCGAGCCGCCTTCACACACGTGTTCCCCTATCTCTTAGGCCGCGCCATACCTCAAGCGGTTAGTCGCTGGCTTCCCGGGTCTTGTCAAGTGGGATATGTGGTGGACAAAGTGGCGCTGGGGTAGGTTTTCTCCGAGTACTTCGGTTTCCCCTGCCAATCTTCATTCCACCAATTGCTCCACAATCACCCTCACCTATCATCTAGGGCTGGTACAATAGGCCAAAAGTGGCCGCAGTACAAGGGACTTGGTCCCACCTCACTAGCTAGCCTATCTCTTTTAATGAATTCCCTTTAGACAACTGTCATATCAGATGTCTTTTAGATTGAGGAACCTAGTCTGGTATCAAACCTGGCCCTTGATTATCACCGTAAAATTGAATGCCAGGTTTCGCGTCCTCGCCACAAGTTTTATATTAATAAATTTGCACTACCGTCATGTAGGTATAATTTAAGTTATGAAATTAAAAGTTCGAAGTTTTTAATGGTATGATATTCATACCAAATATCATGAATATCCACTAATAGTTATTACGGGGAATCTTATAATACCATAACCCTTCTTATTTGTGAAGTAAGGAAGGAAGTATAGAACCTAGTGTTACTGATTGTGGTCCTGGTTGACAAGTTGTGAAGAAATAAGAAGAGTTGACATATTTCAAGAACTTAGAGGGCATTACAATTTCCCTATCATAGGACAGAGGTTATGGTGCCGGTAAACCCACGAAAGGGTACAGGGTCATTTGTAAGGTTCACAAAATGATCATAAAATTGATGACAATTTTTAGAATTATTTTATTTACGAAATAAATTAAATATTACACAGTATCTTTCCATCACGCTTTCCTAAAATGAAAGCATCAAATAATATCCACGATATTACAAGTTAAAGGTGGATGTCATATGACAGCGATCAGAAAATATGATTCGAAACGGAAAACACAAAGTAGCAGCAATAAATGGTGTATGAGGTTCGTGACGTACGCGCCTAGTAGCCGTACGCGGTTCCCAATCCGGAGAAGGAGAGGTGAGCCACTGCAGGAGCAGCAGAGTATGCTACTCCGAGTGGAGCAGCGACTGCAGTCTTGGCTATGGCTGGGGAGTAGGCAGCTCCATAAGCAAGCGCTGGCCCAGCACTGTATGCTCTGATTCCAGCGCCGTATGCAACTGCTGGGGCGGCGCCATAAGCAAGTGCTGGGGCAGCACCATAGGCCCTGTATCCGGCACCATAAGCAAGTGCTGGGGCAGCACCATAAGCCCTGTATCCGGCACCATAAGCAAGTGCTGGGGCAGCACCATAGGCCCTGTATCCGGCGCCATAAGCAAGTGCTGGGGCAGCACCATAAGCCCTGTATCCGGCGCCATAAGCAAGTGCTGGAGCGGCACCGTAAGCTACGGCGGGGGCGGCAATGGCATGGGCGGCGGGAGCATAGGCAAGAGCGTCGTTGCTAATGCGAGTGTCATACTTCCGGACGCTCGAGTAGGGGGTGTCGACAGCCTTCGAGTATTGAGAAATGACGGAGTTGCCACCAAAGCCCTTCACTGTGCTCTCGTGCGTGGAACCCACAGAGCCGTAGTCGAGTGGGGCTGTGTACGTGCTGTAGGCTGCGGGACCTCCAGCGTGTGCCACGGCGACAAGAACAGTGAGACACAGGACCTAGAAACGTAGCAGTATCATGAAACAAGACAATATCGGAACTACACTGAAGCCACGGAAAGAAGTCCCATGGATGGCGGGGACTATGTCCTTAGAGGATTCTACCGTTCTTCCTGCTGCTGCATTCTTCTCCAGCCCCCTTCTGGCCTATATCGGCTTATTGTGTGATTAATCACTACCAATATTCCTGTGACCAGAACACCTAGACCAGGCATGTCAAACTCAACTTGTACAGAGGCCCACCTCAGCCCTATAAATAATAGTCCAGGGCCGCACTTCAAAACAGTAATATCCATTAGATTTTGATACAAGGAAATTTTAATTCTATTTATTATTTAGGAATAATTTCAATATAATTACCTAAAGTCACATATCTTACAGTTTTAAAAAGCAAGAGAATGCCATTTTTGACAAGTATCAAACAGCTTTTCAATAGGTAAAAAGAGAGATTACACAAGAAATTATGTTAGAAATAGCAAAACATTGAATTTCCTGCAGCCTGCTAATTTATGTCTGTGTGAGACTTCTTGTCGTCTGGTCTGTTGGAAAATTGTCTTTACAAAAAATATTTCTACTAAAATTTTAATATTGATTTTAATATCAATTATTTCTAAAAGTTGAGGGGCAGCACTTTGTGGCTATGGGGGCCGCATATTTGACACGGCTGACCTAGACGAACGGAGGGAACTTCTTTCGTTGGCCGCAGTATAACTGCATGGAGCAGACTCATTGTTCGGAAGTTGACAGTCGCTCTGTTAGCTTACAAAATTCCCTGCCATATGGAATCAGAAATTGTATTTCTCTGTTCTCAAGAATCTTCTACTGAACCCATTCCTGACCCACTTGAATCCAGCCCACACACTGTTTCCTTAAGACCCACCTTAATCTTCCCCCATCTGTGCTCACCGACCAAAATTATGTATGCATTTCTCACTGCATTTTTAAATAAATTAAGGATATAAAAACGAAGTGATGTGATGTCACATGTAGTTTCTCTTATTTACTGCCGTATCGCCATACAATTATCGCTTTATAAATTAAAAGATTACCAAGAACCAAAACAGCTGCGAACGTGTTGCTTTATGTATTGCAGTTGCCTAGCAACAACACCGGATACGGAGAAATGGAGGAATGAAACTTGTGAGACAAAATCGCTGTAAAGCCATGTTATAGACTACTGCTCTATACTTCAATTTACACCCTCTAATCTTTAATACGGCCGGTCACGGTAGCCGAGCGGTCTAAGGCACCTACTGTTTTCGCTCGCTTGGAAACCGGGATCGTGGGTTCGAATCCTACTCAGGGAATGGATGTTTCGTTTGTGTGTGTGCGTTTTTCTGTGTTTGTGTACAGGTAGAGGCCTTGCGACGAGCTGATCACCCGCCCAAGGAGTCCTACCGAATGTGTAATATCTAGAAAAACCGAAGTGAACGGAGAAGTTATTGGAGGTAGGCCTGGGCCCACTGGGGCTGTAGTGCCAAGGAAAAAAAACTTTGATACGTAGTTATGGACTGGCTATTTATCATTAATAATCGAACTACTTAATAGATTCACCCTATGAAACCAAACTTGTCCGACAGTTCACATGGGCAATGTTTACCTACAATTATTATTTTTATTATTATTGCTAGTGGGGTGGGAACAAGTCCGTTGTACTGCGGCCACTTCTGGCCTATTGTACCAGCCCCAGATGATAGGTGAGGGTGATTGTGGAGCAATTGGTGGAATGAAGATTGGCAGGGGAAACCGAAGTACTCGGATAAAACCTGCCCCAGCGCCACTTTGTCTGCCACAAATCTCACTTGACCAGACCCAGGATTGAACCCGGGCTGCCGCGATGGGAAGCCAGCGACTAACCGTTGAGCTATGGCACGGCCTTGACCAACAATATGAAAATGAAGTGAAATCCCTGGACATGCATTTTGATAGAAGACTGACATGGGCAAAGCACATAAAATCCAAAAGAAAACAGCTCAACCTAAAAGCGAAACAAATGAAATGGCTACTCGGAAGATCAACACTATCAACAGAAAGCAAACTCCTCCTATACAAAGCAGTACTAAAACACATATGAACCTAAGGAATTCAGCTATGGGACAACCTCCAATTCCAACATCGAAATCCTCCAGCATTTTCAATCCAAGTCTCTCCGATCCATTCTGAACGCATCTTGGTACATAAACAACCACAGGATCCATGAAGATCTACAAATGAACACAGTGCTCAGTGAAATAACAAATACTTAAGAAAATTAGAAAACCACACCAAGGCACTAGCAGTGATCCTACTGCGCAATAACGAAACTGCACATAGACTGAAAAGATACACCGTCATAACTCTACCAGACAGACCTCAGTAAAAGCCCAATAAAAGAATTAAAGTGATAAATAACTAAGTGAAAAAAAAGAACATCATTGGATATCCTTCTCGAAAACAGTATTTAGAAACTGGAACTCTAATGATGATGGACGTACCGTATATGCCACCTACAAGACTACCCTGCTGCAGATAAGTGACGATGTTCGTAACACATTGGTCTGATACAGAGTGAAATTTGAGGTGAATATGAATATTATAGTTTTCTGTTGTGTGACGCTCTGCAGTTTGACAGATAAATGCCAGCGTTTCCGAGGACCGTAATCATCTTTATCTATCACAGATAATCACGATACAAAATTGAGTCTATTAATCGCAACGTCCTTATTTAAAATAGGCTCTATATTACTTCAAGCATAAACAAACACATACTATTAACACGCAAATGTTTCCTTCTTTAACCCTTCCACAGCAAGGCATTAGGGATCTCGCTAAAAACACTTGCCTTTTAGGTGTGTACTTAGTTTTTCAGAAAACCCCTGAAAGAAATGTTTCTGCCATGTATAGATATTCGAAGTTAGCTATTCGAAGATTTAAACAACATGAATTGTATATCACGAATGCATATCTGCAATGAAGTGTTTCCTTAACATGCACAAACCCTCAGGATGGTCTCTTTAGACCGAAACATATCTGGGTATTAACAACAGGAGAAAAAAACAAGGTATACTTAATGATGACCTACATCTCGTGGGGTGGGGTGAGACTAAATCCACTTGGTACGTCGATCACTATTTGGCCTGTTGTACCAGCCCCGGATGATAGATGATGATGAAAGTGAAGCAGTCGGTGGAAGAATTGGCAGGGGAAACCGATGTACTCAGAGAAAACCTGCCCCAGTGCCACTTTGTCCACCACAAATCCCACATGACCTGACCTGCGCTCCAACCCGGGCTGTCGCGTTGGGAATCCTGCCACTAACCGCCCGAGGTATAGCACACGCCCCATGATGTGCATCTGATTTCCACGCGTACAACAGTTTTATGTGATTACAGATCCTGTATTTTGAGTTCTGTATAAGTTTTCTACGAGTGCTTCTTAATTCGTTTGTCAGATAAATATTGGTAATCAACAGATAATAATTTAAATCCACGAGAGGAACCGTCAATCAGACCTTAACAGCTTAGTCAAGAACCCACTATCATCACATAAATATAAACCAAAGCGTCCAGTCTCCCTTACGTACAAAAAGAACGAAACAATTATATGACATTAAAGGTGAATCTCTAAATAATTACCTTCAATAACATTTTTCCTGGTGTAGTTTTCAACTGGTTCTAATGAAACTTTACAACAGTCTGTTCACGAAAGAGTTGAGACATCATTTTTATACTCCCGAAAAATGTGACGTCATTACAGAACGGGTTATGGGGAGGCAGCTTCCCTCTCCCAGTGCCACATGAAAGAATCTGCGAACAGTGGACCGTAGGTGTGGGTTTGGTCGGGGCAGGGATCGGTTATTGTTCAGATATTGTCCCTACTCACAGCAAGAGCGGCATATGTACATACAACCATGTACGAATAATTTGACTGTCCACGTAAGGAAACTTAAACTAAACGCTCAATCAATTTGCTGTGAGATGTGTAAAGATACTTATGAACCACTATTATTTCACTAACTCGACGGAGCAAAGGTCTTCCTGAGAAGCTGTCAGTCAGCCAATGAAAACATCCCTCGCTTCTAGAACGAAGGTTTTTTAACATGTTCACGGCAGCCTGCCACAGCCAATTTCTTTATGGTTGACTTTAATATTACTTTCTCTAGAGAATCCAAATTTGTTTCTCCCTTAACACAGATCAGTCAGGAAAGCTATTAAATTACGGGCTTCAAATGAGATGAATCACAGTTCGATCCCCGACAAGAACAAGGGATTTTTCTCCCTTTCACAGCTTCCAGACAGATCCTGGGGCCCAGTCAGCCTCCTAACCAATGTGTACTGAGGCTTTATTCCCTTGGGGTAAAACGGCCGTGGAGTGAAGCTGACCATTTACCTCCATCTGATGCCGAGGTTGCGAATTCGTGGAGGTATAATTACACTTCCTCCCATGCCACAGCATGGTGCTTAATTAAACCACAGGGACAATTTTACTTTTCCTTACCACAGTATAGTGAAATATATGACACTTTGGTAAATATACAGTTACCCAGCGTAAGCTTCAGTTTTCTTGTAAATTAGGCCAGTTCAATTCATTCAGACTGATAAGTGTACATAATTCATCTTCGTTTCTTCGTATGTAATGTCGTAAGCAGACCGGATATTTCAGTTGTTTACAATCATTCAACTTCCTACAGGTCCATAGAGAACAACACTAACAATTATTTTGTAGCCTAGTTGGTTGAGGCACTATGCTAAAAGCCGAAAGGTCGCGGGTTCGAGTCCCGATGAGGTGGATTTTTTCAATTAACCTAATCCTTCCGGCCGCACTATGGCCCTATGGTCGACTCAGCCTCTAACAGGAATGCGTACCAGAAATCTTCCTGAATGGTAAAGGGCGGCCGGCGCGTAAGGCTGACAACCTTACCGCCATCTATTAGACGTCTGTCTTGTAAAAATGTGGGACCATCAACGTCTCACAACCCTATGGGCCTCCACGGCCTGTTACAGGTATAGCTTTATTTTCTTTTTATTAAAACACACTCCCAAAAAGTCGTAAGTTCAGGATAAGAAAGAACGACAGTAGAAAATGAAAATTACGTTCACGAAGGAGTTAAAGGCAAATTGTACCCGGGGAATGCTGGATAACCATTCGAATAATGAACCTTCCGGATTCGAAAGAGGAGTACCAACATTTGCACCCTTGAGCTCTGTTCAGGCGTTTATGCCAACGACAATGAGACATGGATAGGAGGGACAGGATTTTTACACAGGCGAATCTGTCAAGCAACTTGAATTAGCTGAGCGGATATCTGACAGAGGCCTGAGAACTGAATGACGGCTGAAGCTCGGATACGAGTTACGGTACTATATAGGATGTGATACAGTCTGTTTGCTAATTAGAAAAACATTCTACGTTAATAATTGACATGTAGTATTCCATCGTCATTATCATCGGTAACTTCACAGATTAGAACATTCGGTCTGTTGCAACTCCAGGAATAATAGTGGTTCTTCTAACTTTTTATTAAGGCCTCCCGTGTTTCGTGTTCCTGTCGCTTTGTAGTCTGAACATTCGTAACGCTATTCAGTCTGGGTCCAGTCTTAAAATACGCTTATACCAATTGATGGTTTTGATATTAAGCTTTAGTCTATGAAAAGTTCAAGTATTTAGGTAATGACAGTAACAAATTAAAACTTAATTCATAGGTAAATTAAAAGGAGACTGAATTCGGGTAATGCTTGCCACTGTTCAGTTCAGAACCTTTTGTCTTCTCATCTGCTGTCTAAAACCGCGAAGATTAAAATATACAAAACTACAATTTTGCCTGTGGTTTCATATGAGTGTGAAACTTGGTCTCTGACATTGAGGGAGGAACATAGACCGAGGGTGTCTGAGAACAGGGTGCTGACGAGAATATTTGGACCGAAGAGGGATGAAGTGATAGGAGGTTGGAAAAAAAAACTGAATAATGAGAGGCTACATAACATGTACCCTTCGTCAATTATAATCAGACCAATAAAGGTAGGGTTGATGAGATGGGAAGGGCATGTAGCAAACATGGGGAGAAGAGGAATGCATATAGAATTTTGGTATGAATACCAGAAGGAAAGAGACCACTAGGAAGACCTAGCAGTGAGAGGAAAATATTACGGTGGATCTTAAGAGAAATACGATGGGGTGATATGAACTGGATTCATCTGGCTCAGGATCGAGACCAGCGCAGGGCTCGTGAGGACATGGCAATGAACCTTGGGGTTCCATAAAAAGTTGGGAAATTACTGAGTAATTAAGGGACTGGTGGCTAGTCGAGAAGGACTCAGCTCCATGGAGTTAGTTAGTTCTAAACTTTATTGTATTTAGTGACGTCCATTGTGGCGTTCTTCTTCTCAGCTGTTAGACCGTGTAGGAGCGGGTTCGCGTCCTTTCACTCTCGTTGGTCTGTCTCCTGAGCTCCGCCTGTGACTTGCCGCTGCCCTTTGTCACTGTGTTACAATCTTGCCAAAATAAATTCAAATATTAAAGTGGCCTACATGAGCCTATCAGAACAGGTGACGAGCAGAGAATCCTCCAGTTCTGCTGGCATGGACCACTGGAAGAGGGGCAGAAGGCCAGGGTGTTCTCAGAACCGCCCGCTGTTCCCGCATATGTTTAACCCCATTATAGCTGAAACAACATCGAAGGCATGGCTGCGTTTGTGTTTTCTTTCAGTTTTACTTCTTTACTGAAATGGGCACTGTATATCATTGTTTTCAACCAATGGGACGCATCCCACTGATGGCACTTGATAGTTGGATGTGTTGGACGTGAGATCTGGAAAATAATTGTTCCTTCACACAAAATTCAGTTAGGCTTACACCGATATCCCACTTTTTAAGCAAAAACTCCTCAATAATGCCGCACTACGTATTGTAGTATCTCAGCTAACAGTGTTTGGTTTTCTACAGTATACGGTAGCGTAGTTGGTTGAGGCACTATGCTAAAAGCGGAAGGTTTGGGGATCGAATCCCGATGAGGTCATTGGATTTTTTTTCAATTTAGCTAATCCTTCCAGCCGCCCTAGGATCGACTTAGCCTCTAACAGAAATGAGTACCAGGAATATTCTTGGAAGGTTCTCGGG